TGGAAACATGTAATAGATAAATGTAATTGACATTTGATGATTAATTAAATGGTATTATTTATAAGTAAAGTTATTGTCTTGTGTTAATTGTTTACATATTGTTTCGTTTTGCATGTTTTGACTTCCTGAATAATAAGATTATTCGAATGGTCCACATTCGTTCATATGTTGGAAGTAGGTATGAATGAAGAATGTCTTGAATTGGTATGTACATTGTCTGAAAGGTATTAGACATAGAAAAGGTTTTCCACAACATTCATGAGTGCTTATGAACAAGTTTTGAGCATTGGAATAAATCTACGCTTGCTGGAATCACTTCATGGAAGTTATCACGAGTGATCGCAAGACGATAATATCATATGGTCTTAAAACCTAGATATATGGTTTATTGTTTGCTGATTGGTTGTGCATTGATAATGCGACAACGCATCAGTAACTTGATGTTATAAAACGCATTGTTGTGTATGATTTAATTAGTGAGTATTAAATGCATATAAGTCGAAGTTTATCTGTTCCTTTTATCCTAAGAGGGTAAAAGAGATATCAGGGCCCCTCGATGATTTGGTTTGACTTATGTGTTAGGCCCGGTCAGGACTAAATTGATGTGTTCAATTAAGTTCTATGTCAAACGAATCTGAGATCGAGAAACAAATTTCTGGACAATAAGTATGACTATGTTCCATGTGATTGCCCGCACGATATCTAGAACAGAGGATCATTCGATCCCTTATCTAATGGACAGATTATTGATAAGATCAGAGTTCGACAACCTCTTTGAGAGTTATGATTGCTAATCGGATTCTACTTGCATTTATGGTTACTAGACTTATCCAAGTGCGAGACTGTTGGATTAGTGTCTAAGCCCGTAACCATATTTGGTAAGTACTTGACTCAATTGTGCATGGTCCTTTTGGGTTGCCTTCACCAAAGCAACTTGACTGGAGAAATAATAAAGATAGAGGTTATTATGGTTTATTAATATATTATTAGAATAATATATTAAAAGATAAATCATACTGTTAAATTAATATTAGTCATAAATTAATTAAAAATTAATTTGGTGACTAAAAGAGATTAATTGAATAAAGGGACTTAAAGTGTCAAATGTGTGATAGTTGGATTTTGGGCTGGGAAACCCAATGGGACAAAGGGATGAACGAAATTATGATGGGAGCCCATTATATTTTCTTCCATGGCCTTATTCCAAAATGTTCTATGGGCTGCTTAATGTCTAAGCTGTCCATTAGGGTTTTGGAGGAAACCCTAGCTGCTCATAGTATAAATAAGGCCACTAGGCTACAGAAATCATCCACTTGCTTCTCTAAGAACCTTAAGGCCGAATTTTTAGCCGCCTCCCTCTTTCTCTTGCCTCTCCATTTTCTCTTGGTGTTTGTGAGCCATTAGAGGTACTATACTTGTGGTACTTGCTTTCAAGGATAAGGAGATTCAAGATTTAGGTTGTTATTACTACATAACAACAAGAGGTATGTAATCCATCTCATCTTATGAATTTTGAAATTCATAGAAGCATATTAGGGTTCTTCATGTGTTCATAATGTTGTGTATCTATTAGTAAAAGCATAGATCCGACTTCTAGGGTTGCATGCACACATAGGATTATTTGTATAAAACTCATCACCCGCGTCCTCAAAATGTTCTCTACTCGATGAGTTGGGGCTCCCAACTCGTCGAGTCCCAACATTAAACACTAAAAATTAGAAAATTAAATAATAATTGGGACAGGCATTACAAAAATCAACCTTGCAAATGTCCAATCCAGATTGGAAGTAATCATCGGTACATATGAGATTGTTTTCAGCAATCAATTTTGTTTTTTTATGGAAGATCTCTCCCAACCTCGTATGTTGATGATGAACCCACTAACTTCATCATCGATCAATCAAAACAAGAGCTCTTCATCGTTCTAATTTTGGAATCAATTACTAGTTAATTAGCTAATTCCAACACCGTCGATTTGGAACCAAAGTCTATCGTCATTGATTTATCCGATCAACCAGAAGAGAACGAAGATTGATTTTGGAATACTCAAACGAAACTATCTTTATCGTTTCCTCTAATGTCTATGATTCTGTAAGTTTCATTTTTTTAATTTATTTTAGTTAGTTGTTTCGGTTTTAAGGAGTTATAATCTTCTGTTTATGATGAATTGAAATAGTTGATATTGTAGCATCCCAAAAATTATAAGGTAAAATTTTCATTTTTAATTCAACCAAAACACTAACTATCTTTTAGTTAAACATGCATTATCCTTTTTCTAAATATTCAAAAGTATTTTATAAGAAAACAGTTATCAGAGTACAATCCCAAAATCATCATATTTAATGCGGAAACATGGGTGGATGTGTTGTGATCATGTCAGTCCCTTTACTTTCGAACCGGAAGTACCTGAAACCATAACCATAAAGATCGTAAGCACAAAGCTTAGCGAGTTCCCTAAGATACCACATACCATTGGGCCCAGCCTGCATATTGGGCCCATCCCTCTATAATGGGCCTAAACCGGTCATACAAATGCAAAAGTCACAAAGACAATTAGCACTGACATTACATACAATGGGCCTAGTCCTTCCTGATCCATAGGCCTAGCCCAACATACAAATGAGCCTAACCCAACATATTAATGGGCCTAGCCCAACATACCATTCAGGAGTCATAAAAACAACTAGCATAATATATCCTAGTGGGCCAGCATTGGTGCCTTTGACCCATGAGTACAGTGAGGAGACTCACCTCTAACTACTGAAACACTCGAATAAATCCCTAACTACTGGTCCGAAGAATTCCCGTGCTATTATCATCAAATGACATCCAATTGTTAATTGGTTTCCGACAGATAACCAAGAGTCTAAACTACTTAGCCCATAACCAGGATAAACGACCATTCTACCAACCGATCGATGAACACTCAAACCGAACTCACCCATACTTTTGGCCATAGGGATGCGAGAGTCTAAGAAACAACTTTTTTTCTCGAAAATCTGCCTCCAGCAAGATAGATGGACGCAAAAAAAGTCATATAGTGCAGGAGCGCTCACATTTTTTGGCTGACTCTTGCACTTGAATTGAAAAATCCGGTTCGCTCCCGGCCTTTGGACCCTTGGCCACCCAATCGATAACCAAGATTCTAAACTATTTAGCCCATAACCAGGATAAACGACCATTCTACCATTTATCTCACTTGCCCAAAGCCAAGGCCCGACTTAATTACTCCTAAGGCCTAAATCCTAAATGATATTCCAAAGCCCAATATGGTCAAATCTTCCAAATTAGGCCCAAAACCCATCATGGGCCTAAATCCAAAGAAGCCCAAAAATACAAACATGAAGCCCAAAATAGCAGTCTAATGGCCCAACAAGGGCCAAACTAAGAAAACCCACACAACGGCACAAACCAAGAATACCAAGCCCAAACGTCCATCTGCTAAGCATGCAGGGTGTACTCAGCTCGTACACTAAGTGTACTCTCTGCCCGGGGTCAGTACGCGCAGCATACCAGTTGGGTACGCCCAACATACTCCCCATAGTACCTTTTCACTCCAATAAGCACTTAATCGGTTGAGACCTCAAGCCAAACTCCCAGATCTAACCCTAAAGGGGAATTTATCACGTAGAGTTGGCAACTTTACACTCATGCATGGCTTAAAGGGACTCAAAATCTCAAATAATAATAATAATAATAATAATAATAATAATAATAATAAAGGTCTTAATGTTTTCATGGACCAATATCTTCCATAAAGTTGGCATTTTTATGAACATGGGGACTAAATGGAGCCAAGATCTAGCATTCATAGCTTTTAGAGTAGATCAAAAGCTCACCTTTAACTCCAAAGTTTCCAAAAGTGCACAAAATACACCATAAACTAGATCTAACACCAAAGACCATCAAGGTGAGAGCTTTTTACCTCAAAATGCTTTCAAATTAGTAGAGGATCCTGGATCTACAAGCTCAAGCTATTCCCTCAAGTGTTCCTCCTCTTCTTCTTCTTCTTCTTCACAAACCACCAAGAACACTCTTTCAAGCTCAAAACTCACCAAATCACTCTAGGATTTTGATATCATGGTAATGGGTGATGGAGATTGGTCTAAAATGTCCAAAAGATGGTATAATGATGCTTAAATAAGGTGCAACCCCTAAAAAGTAGGGTTTTCATCTGGCTGGAGTACGCCCCGTATGCTCCTAATATGACCAACGTACTTCTTAAAGTGCCCACGATCCCTTCTGTCTAGTACGCCCAGCGTACTCCCTTGTACACCCTGCGTACAAGGCTTATCCTTTTAAACCACCAACTTCTGGAGGCCATAACTTTTTCGTTCTGAGTCCGATTTCGATGATCCTTATATCCACGGAAAGGTAACAAGAATCTCTACACTTCTATCAACTTATCCTTGAATTAAAACTTCCCGAACTAAAATCCAAAATTCATAAAAAGCCCGAACTAACACTTTACCGATATATCACTTGGCTCCAAAACACAAAACGAACTCTCATATCATCTAGATTACATTACCTACACCCAAATGGGTCTAAATCTCTATTTCCCAAAGGACCTAATCTTTGTGATAACTGATCTTCGGATTACAACCCCAAATTAGGAACGATTTGGCACATGGTGTTACAGATATTGCATATGCAATTCGTTAACAGGTATGGGTCGTTAACGGATAGATGAATCATAAAATATGATTCAAACTTATTGCGAATCAGGGTGAAAACTCGTTCCATTACGAGGTCTACATGAGGGAAATGCATGACTTATAAATAATAAATTTATATTTAAAAATTTTAGATGGAGCGGATTATATATGAATTGGATCGATAGTGATCCATATCCGACCCTTTTAATAAAATGGTTAACGGATACGGTTCGTTAATAAATAAATGAATCATAACATATGATACAAACTTATTAATTTTTCACGGGTTAAAATCCGCTTAATTCACATGTCTAAACCAAGAGAAATGAACTGGGCTTTTTTGACAGACAAAGTGCTACTCCGTTAAAGGGGTGGGATTGGGTGGTGGTGAGGTGTACCGAACTCTTGCGTACACGTGCATCCCTGCAATCGTTCTTTACACCTTTCACAATTGACATGGCCGTTTCCACTTTCCAGGACCTACGCCTTACGGGTTTCTTGTTCGAGAAGCTGTTTTTCTGTTCTTGCGTCGTCGGCGTTTCATTTCAATCAACAGAAAAAAGTGTATATCAAATTATCAATGCGTACGGAAAATAATCTGTTCATAATTAGCGATTGCTGCGATCATTTTGGATAATTTCTTCACATACATACGCTAATTTTGCAAGAGAAGCTAGGGTTTTGGGGATTCTTGTTGATAGGGGTTTTTTAGGTCTGTAAAATCGAGTGATTGCTGATGGTGGATGTGGATGCTAAAGAGAACGAGGGTGGTAATGGCGATGATAAGAAGAAGAACCGTCTATGGATGCGGTGGGGAATTATCGGAGCTGTGATCACAGTTTTAGTTGCCCTATCTCTCAATCCTTGGCGGAATTCTCTCAATCTATCTCTCCTCCATAAATCGTACCTCTGTTCTGAGGTACTCTCTCGTTCTCTTCCTATGCATGCATGCATTGATGTCTCTATATGATTACGCAGACAATTACAGAGAAATTCCATAGCTTATCGAAGTAGTTAGATCGAGCTATAACTTGGTTTTTTATATCTATTGTACCAGGTGAATTTTCGCTCTTTTCATCACCAATGTGTGTGAAATTATGTATGTGGCTCTTCTATTAAAATTTGTGGTTAAAGTTGGATCTAATTGAACTCTATCCTGATATGCTTTGATCTCTTGTTAATATACTTTTGAAATTCCTGCCATTGAAATGTGTTCACAAAATTATCAGACCTATTTCATTATATTCCAACCTGTTTCTTCAATTCATACTTAGTTCGTTTGATACTTTCAACCCTCTCCTTTTCAATTTCCAATGATCATTTGTCTCCCAAATCCCATTCCAACTAATTCGTGATAAAAGCCTCATTGTCACATCTTTCAAACCTCAGTTATTCCACAAGTTTAAGAACTTGAAACTAATTTGTTTGTTTAATCTTTCAATTTCTGAACAGGATACTTGTAAATACACAGGCCTCATTGAGGACTGCTGTTGCGACTTTGAAAGTGTCGATGATATTAATGGAGCAGTTCTACATCCATTGTTGCAAGAGCTTGTTACCACTCCCTTCTTCCGATACTTCAAGGTCTTTTTTTTAACCTAAATTATGATTATAAATTTATAACTTTATAATCACGATCTATAATTCTACATACATGTATGTATCTCCAACAGGTTAAATTATGGTGTGATTGCCCTTTCTGGCCTGATGATGGAATGTGTAAAATGCGTGATTGCAATGTATGCGAGTGTCCAGAACATGAATTCCCCGAATCTTTTAAAACACCATCATTAAACGTTCTTCCAAAAGATGATCCTGTATGTCAAGAGGGAAAACCAGAAGCTACTGTGGATCGAACCCTAGATGACAAGTCGTTTAAAGGCTGGGTAGAAGTCGATAATCCATGGACTCATGATGATGAAACTGATAATGGTAATAATATAATTATTTAACCTTAAGGATACTGGAGTTGACTTTTATTGACTTCTTTCTCAAAATTTACAGAAGAAATGACGTATGTGAATCTGCAATTAAATCCCGAACATCATACTGGATACACGGGTCCATCAGCTAGAAGAATATGGGTTGCTATATACTCAGAACATTGTCCAAGATGTAAGTTAATTAATTGGGGGAGGGCATTTGTGTCATTTTACACCGACAAGAGATAAAGATTAAACAGTGTTTTTTTTTTTTTATTTTTTTTTTTATAATAACAGATGCATATGGGGAGATGTGCCCGGAGAAGAAAGTACTATACAAATTAATATCTGGTCTTCACTCTTCAATTTCAATCCACATAGCTGCTGATTATCTTCTTGACATAAAAAATAATAAGGTGATTTACGAAACTTTATGTCAGATTTATTATGAAAAAAAAATTAATTAATTAAATAATTAATTACAGCGGGGTCCAAATCTTAAATTGATGCGTGACCGAGTATTGAAACATCCTGATCGCGTGCAAAATCTTTACTTCACTTTTTTATTCATTCTTAGAGCTGTGACAAAAGTAAGCATTCCTTTTTAAACGAATTTTGAGATTTTTTTTTTTTGAAAAAAAATAAAAAAATAAATATGTGAGTTACAGGCAGGTGGTTACTTGGATGAGGCGGAGTATGATTCAGGGAACGATTTAGAGGATGTGAAAGCGGGAGAATTGATAAGAAGATTGGTACAAAATCCGAAATTACAAGCTGCATGTGCACTTCCATTTGATGAAGCTGAATTATGGCAAGGTCAAGGTGGGCCCATGCTTAGGCAACAGATCCAAAATCAATTTCTAAACATCAGGTTTCATCTTTAATTAATTCTCTACATACACATACATTTTTCGTCCTTGTGGCATAGTGGTTTGTTCAGATTTGGTCCAAAAAAAAATCTTTTTGCGTTTTTGATCCGTTTTTATGACACTTTTCACCTTTAAAATTTATTTGTATGATGTGGCAGTGCACTGATGGACTGTGTGGGTTGTGAGAAGTGTCGTCTTTGGGGAAAACTTCAGATTCTTGGTATTGGAACAGCGTTAAAAATTCTGTTTTCTGTTAATGATAAGGAAAACCCGGACACACATGTAAGTATTTATATTTTGTCAATTTTTCCCAAAAAATTTTTGGTTTTTATGTATCTATTTGTTTTTACAGTTGCTGTTACAAAGAAATGAAGTGATTGCTCTAGTTAATTTACTAAATCGGCTATCGGAGTCTCTTATATTCGTTAATAAAATGGGGACTCCTCCTAAAGAAATAATCAATAGACCATGGGGATTCTCGTCAGTGGCTTATTGGTAATTTTGTTACTTTTTTTTTTTTTTTTTTTTTTGGGGGGGTTTAACTGAAATGTTGTGAACTAACTGGTTTGGTTTTTCAGGTGGCTAAAATCTAACCAACAATTGTCATTGTCAACAAACACCACCGACCCATTTTGATAATGAGACATGATCAAAGTGAAGATAAAAAAAAAAAAATAGAGCAGCAAAATATTTTAATTTGAGCTTGAATTTACTTATGTTAGAAAGTTTTTTTATTTTTTTTAAAATCAATAAATATGAAGAAAAAAATTATAGTAATTCAATGGTTAGTGAATTATGCCATTGAACAGGTTTTGTAGGGTTGTTTTTATGAGAAAGGGCATTCATGTTATTTGCAAAAACTAAAGATCAAGGAATAGTGTTTGTTTGTTCCATTTTTTTTGGAAGACTTTTAAGAAGCATAAATGTATTCACTACTAGCAAAGAATATGGCTTTCAACATTCATCGAGTTCATGTCAAAAGACCAATACAAGAACACCAAAACATACATTTGATCTAACAACACGATTCACATCAAAATATTTTCTTTCTACAACTTCTTCTTCCCCATCATCATCATCATCTCATCATAGATTTTGATCATTGAATTCTCAATTTTGCCCCTCTTTACAAGCGTAACTTCTATTCTTATGTACATTGTAGTAGCATAAAAGTATAACACAAAACTAAATCAACTTTTTTTTTTCTGAGCCCTTGACATGGAGAGAGAAGTTGTTCATCATCATACGATTCGCACTAAAATCTTGGATAATCTTTCTTGTAGGGGATTTTTTTTTTTTTTTCTTTTTTTGTTATTGTGGAGTGATTGGTTATATCTCGATTCCAGCTTCTTTAAAAGCAGCTGTCATTGTGGTCGATGCCTCTTCAAGTGTTCGCCTTTTTTGAATGGAATTAAAAGTCTCAATGTAATCACCTTCCTCCCATTCATTGAAATCATCAACTCCAATTCCACACTCTAGTCCCACATTCACCTGTTAAAAAAACCAAGAATTTCACAAAATGTTTTTGGAAAGAAAAGAATCAGCAAACACTTATTAAGATTATAAGAAAGAGAAGCATTACCTCTTTAACATCCTCCTTGATTCGTCTCAAAGAATCAACAACACCAACATAAATAATCTTCCCTTTTCTCAAAACCCTAACCCCACAATCTTTTGTCACCTTCCCTTCGGTCACCATGCATCCAGCAATCCGCCCGCTCCCACTGCTAAACACCGCCCGCACCTCCGCCGCCCCAAGCGGCACTTGATCCTACAAAAAAAAAAAAAAAAAACGAAATCATCAAACAAATGACACGAGGGAGGGTATAATGGTAATTTCAGATGGTTACCTCAACGGAATCTAGTAGGCCTTCCATTGCAGTTCTAACATCATCAATAAGATCATATATAACTTTGTAAAGACGAATCTCAACACCTTTTTGATCTGCATAGCTTTTAACAGAACCCGGTGCTTTTACATTGAACCCAAATATAATGGCTTTACTAGCAATCGCAAGGTCAACATCACTGTTGCTGACATCACCCGTTGCTTGTAAAATGAATTTTAAAGTCACGTTATCTTGTGGGAGCTTTTGTAGGGCTTGTTTCACAGCTTCGATTGATCCCTAATCATCGTTAAAAACAGAGTTTAAAAAGGTGACTTTATTTAAACAGAATGTGGATGCTTTAACAATAATAGTAAAAGGAGTGATACCTGAAGATCGACTTTCATAACGATATTCAGTTGATGTAAATCCAATCCAGAATTGTTGCCAGTTGTAACAGCAGAAGCAAAAGAAGAAAGAGTTATTCTTCCATCTCCAGCTTTTGCCAAAATTCTTTCATCTCTTAAAGAAATCGCGCGTTCTTCTGCTCTTTCACGTGCAATATCAAGAGAATCCACAACCTCAAATTCATCACCCGCAAATGGGACATTGTTTAATCCAATCACCTAAAAAAACATCCATCAAAAGTTTACTACTTTCTATAAATGGAAAAAAAAACATCCATCAAAAGTTTAATACTTTCTATAAATGGAAACGTTGTGATTTTCTTTACAATTTATACCTGTACAGGTATCGAAGGTCCAGCTATATCAACTCGTTTTCCACCATCATCAAATAAAGCTCGGACCTGAAAAAAAAAATTATTTCCCCAAAAGGGTAAGTTGCTAAGCCATTGAAAGTTTGAAACAAATCAAGATTCAAGGTTAAAAATGTCATTTTTATTTTTTACTAACCTTTCCAAAGGATTCACCACATACTACTACATCCCCTTTTTTTAGTGTTCCATTTTGAACTATAAAACTGGCTACAGGTCCTTTTGACTTGTCAAGACCTGCCTCGATTACTGTTCCCTTTGCATTTCTATCAGGATTAGCCTTCAATTCTTGCAGCTAATATATCAAAAAAAAAGAGAATACAATTAAATACATAAATCAAGATAAATAAAGGTAATCCCTTGTTTTTTTACCATTAAAATACATAATAGTATATATAAAGTATAGCAAATTACAAAAAATGGGCCTTGTGCTTTCTGATTTTTACCATGTTTAGTCGAAAATCGAAGCTTTTTTCAGTTTTGGTCTTTATTTCAAGGTTCCAGGGACCAAAATCGATACGAAACCTTGAAATAAGGACCAAAACTGTAAAAAAAAAAAAAAATCAATTTTGGAGTAAGTCGTTTTTTCACTACATGATAAGTTTTTTACCTCTGCAACAAGCATGGTGGTTTCCAACAACTCATCAACATTGAACCCTGTGAGAGCACTAATCTGTAACAAAAACAATTTTTTAAAAATAACAATAAGTAATCTTGTAAAGGGTATTATAGTCAAAACACAAAAGAAGAAATTTCAGGCTTTTTTGTCCCACCTGAACCATAGGAACATCACCACCCCAATCTTCTGGTTGTACACCATTTACAGAAAGCTCCTGCATCACTTGGATTACTCTGTCTGCAGCTTCCTCCTTCTCAATCTTATCAATCTAAAACATTAACAAAAAAAAAATAGTTTTAAGTTAAAATTTTAGTCAAATCTTTGACCAATTAAATCATGATTCGATAAACACCTTGTTAATGGCAATAACTATTGGCACACCAGCTGCTTTTGCATGTGCAATTGCTTCAGCTGTTTGAGGGCGAATTCCATCATCAGCAGCCACTACAATTATAGCAATATCTGTAACCCTGGCCCCACGTGCTCTCATTGCACCAAATGCCTACAAAAATCAACACATTTAAACAAAATTGGAAATAAAAAAGATTTATTTTCATTTAACATTACCTCATGTCCAGGGGTATCAAGAAAAACACATGGTCTCACAGTGCCATCAATAGGCACTTCAACTTTATATGCTCCTATTCCTTGTGTGATTCCACCAGCTTCAGAAGCTGCCACCTGTCATAAAAATAGTAATCAAGATCCAATCTTTAATCACATTTCATGTTATAAAGACTATCTTTTTCGTTCTTTACTCATAAAGATCCAATCTTTAATCACATTTCATGTTATAAAGACTATCTTTTTCGTTCTTTAATCATAAAGATCCAATCTTTAATCACATTTCATGTTATAAAGACTATCTTTTTTCGTTCTTTAATCATAAAGATCCAATCTTTAATCACATTTCATGTTATAAAGACTATCTTTTTTCGTTCTTTAATCATAAAGATCCAATCTTTAATCACATTTCATGTTATAAAGACTATCTTTTTTCGTTCTTTAATCATAAAGATCCAATCTTTAATCACATTTCATGTTATAAAGACTATCTTTTTTCGTTCTTTAATCATAAAGATCCAATCTTTAATCACATTTCATGTTATAAAGACTATCTTTTTTCATTCTCTAATCATAAAGAAATAATCTTGATCAAATTGTACCTTGGTTTTCCGGATAAAATCCAAAAGGGTTGTCTGTCATATACCAAAAAAAAACAATATTAGCAAAAAAAAGTCTTTTAAGGAAATTAAACAATTTAAAACAGTAAGTATTACTTATTATTACCTTTCCATGATCAACATGACCCATGATTGTGAGAACAGGGGGTCTATCTTGTAAATGATCCAAGTCTTGTTCATCAAAAATTTCTTTCTTTTTAGCTTGTTCTGATATTTTAATGGGACCCACATCAATAACTTCCACCTCATACTCCCTACAAACCATCTTCACCATTTCCTTATCAAGCTTCTGAACCCCATCAGGCTTAATACCCTTTGCATAAAGATGCCCTAATATCTCACCTTCACTCACAGCTAAATTATACGCCAGCTCATCAATCAGCATACCCTCTTCACCAACTTCCATGAGTTCTACTTTGACCGGTTCAGCTTCCCGAGCTGCCCGCATCCTAGCTGCTTTCCTACTAGCTTTACTCCACTTTCTTCCCTTTTTTGCCCCTGGAATTGAAACATCAAGATCATCATCATGATTCCTATTATCTTGAACCATACGCCTACGGGTCCCACCAGCTGCCCCACTTCTCTTTCTGAAATCTTCCTTGAATTTTGTGGGACCCGAGGGCTTTCCTGGCTTTGGAGGTGATAAAACTGCTTGTGCCATTAAAGGGTCAACTGGTGGTCTTTTGGATGCAAATTTATCGATCAGAATCGGTCCACTTCTTTCCTTTTGTTTTGTACTAGGATCTTTTTCATCAGTACTAGGTTTTACTTTTTCTTTTTCCAACACCCTTGGAGCAGCTCCTAAATCTTTCAAGATTGGTGGTCTTTTGACAGGTGGTGCTGCTGTCAATGGTTTTGCTTGTAGCTTTGGTTGGAATCTTTGAGGTGGCTTAGCAACTTGCTGACTTTCAGCTTCCACTGTTGACTCCATTTTCGGGACTTCTGGAATTTTCTCAATCTTTTTTGCTTCTTTCACAACTTTTTCTATATTAGCAACTGGATTCCCCTTTCTCCATACACTCTTCAGAGTCTTGGACTTCCCAATAGCTGAGTTGACTCGGTTAGCATCAGAATTGGTGTTTGTTCTCAAAGGGATTGATGGCTTTTTATTTGGGATTTCTGAGTTCTTGCTTGTTTCTAATTTTTCAGCCTTTTCCAACACCTCTCCTAACGACTCAATCACCTTATTTCTCTCTTCTTCATTCAACTTCTCCCTACCAGAACCATTTGAAACTTGTGCTATTTTAGGCTCGGGTGGCTTCAAGATAGGCCTTGTAGGCTTAAGTAAGAGATCAGAAGCATCGTCTTGGCTGCTTTTATTGGTGGCATTCAGTGAAAGTGAAGTCCCTTGATCAGCGATGTAATCAGTAGTCACAGAATATTTACAAATCGAAACATACCTCCACCTTTTTCCGACCAAAAGGTTATGAAAACTGCAAGAACTATTGGGGAAATAAACTCTCCTAATTGATAAACGGGTCCCTTCCAATTGACCCGGAGAACAAGTGCAGGTACTTCCTAAACCCACTAACGAAGCAAAAGAAGCCATGATTGCACTCTATATAGACCCCGGCATTACTTTCCTATCCTCACAGACAATTTATCAAACACCTAGCCTGCAATGGCCTAATAACACCTTCACAGACTCTTACACACGAAATTACACTCTTCTTATACTCGTTTCGCTACAATCTGAGCACCAAATAGGAATGGGTCGATTATAAAACCTAAAGAACAGGGTTTTGAGCTCAACCGATAGTACGAAACACCCAGAAATTAAAAAAGATAAGAAATTTCGGAACAAACTAAAACCCCACAACTCCCACAAGAGGATATGAAATCGTTACCTCTGAAAATTCGGGGGTTTCCGTTCTTTGTGGGTGGATTGGATATAGTTTGCAGAGTCGTTACTGTGTATGTAGATTGTGGAGGGAAGAAGGAAGGGTATTGTGTAGTTAACCGTGTGGTTGTAGAGGAAAGGAGGAAGGGATGAAACCAAGGGTGTGTGTTGGCTCGGTGTTTGTGTGTGTGTGGCTAATTCTATGCCTCTCATCAAATGATAACATTACATGTGTCTGATAAGGTTTCAGGATTTCCTTTGTTTTCATCCTACCAAAAATACAAGTTGAAATTTCTTTACCTCAAAATCAAATATCTTTGCACTCATACTTTAGAATAATATTAAACGTTTTGACTATTACACCTTTTTAATTGAAATTTGATGTAATTTTTATATTATGCAGCGAGTTAAATGTATATTTATGTAATGATATTTTATCATTTTTAAATTTATTCAACAGAATGGTTTTTATATGAAAGATAATTATAAGAATTGGTTCAAAAATATATTTTTTTGTATAAATTGATGAAGAATATTAATTGTTTTATATATAAGATAATTCAAACATGTCATGTCATGAGATAATTTGTTCACAATTGCATTATTTGTTATCATATGTGAGGGTTATATTTTATATTCATCAATAGTTAGAGGTAGTTTCTGTAATTGATCCTAAGTAGCTAGGTTAATACGAACAATATTGTATTTTCTTTGTTATGTGGCATCGGTTGCGGTTTCTATGACATCTCCAAACTTCCTCTTCCCGATCTTGATTCGTATACATGTTTACATGGTATCAGAGCTTGAGGTATGTTTCAACTAAACATTGTTCTATTAATTGCTTTTCTTCCCATAAATCGGTATTTACAGATACATTTTATCAAGCCCTAAACCTATCTTGAATGAAAAGGAAATAGTTATTTTACTTACCTGAATCACTTTGTTAAATTAGACATAACTACACCGTCCCACTTACATACCACCCAATTAAATTAGCCACAATTCCATTTCAGCCTATTTCATTACAAACCTGTTATGTTAAAACTCAAACTCTATCACCGACCCACTATCATTTTATTTACTCTCAATCACCTCATTCACTACTGTAACACCCTATTTCGAATCGTATCATAATTTACGGCCGTGAATCGATGACCAATTATCATAAGGCTTTGGGCCTTGAGAAAATAGAGGTTTAGACCCATTTGGTTGTGGATAATGTAGGTTGTGGGTACCGAAAGTTCGGTTTGTGCTTTGGAGCCCTAAGGTATAATGGTAAAAGTGATGGTATGGACCTTTCATGAATTAAGGATTTTAGTTCGAGTTCTTTTAAGTCAAAAGTAATTAGATAGGGTTGTAAAGTTCCTCATTACCTTTCCATGGATATAAATTTCATTCAAAAAAGAGTTGGGACGCAAAAGTTATGGCCATCAGAAGATAGAGTGGCAAGGGGCTTGCCGAGTACGTTGTGCGTACAAGTAATGTACGCGTACTTGGCTAGAGTAATCACGAAGGCTCCTTCGTATACGTTGGGCGTACCAGATGTATGTTGGACGTATGCAACTCAGTCTCAAACCCTAATTTAGGGTCGTGGACCCTATTTAAAGGCCTTAACTCATTCTCAAACCCTCTTATCTTCAGTCTCCCTCCCATTAACCCTAAGTTCGAAACCCTAGCCTCTCTTGTGTGAATTTCAAGTCTTGGTGTGATTTTTGGTGTGCTTTGGAAAAGAAGGAAATCTTGTATAAAGCATTACTTGGCTTAGAGCTTGTGGATCCAAGCTCTAATCATCTTCATCAACTTCTAGGAGGTGTAAAGCTTCTAACTTGATGACTCTATGTGTTAGATCTAATCTAGGGCTTGTTTTGGGTTTATTATGGTCCCTAGATCCATCATTGTGAGCATGAGCTACTCCAGGATCTTGGAATGCTAGATCTTAGCATTTCTAAGGCTTTTAGTGCATAAAAATGTCACTTTGATGGTGTTTGATGAATCATGCTTAAGTTGGCATTCATATTATGGGTTAATTAGATGGATAAAAACGGGTTTCGGGCCCCATTAAGACATGCAAAGGAGTAAAGTTGGAAACTTTATGGATTAAGACTATATTTATGTAACGACCTAAAATTTAAGACCAAAAATTTCTTTTAATAAATCATTACTTAAAGTAAAGTCATCATTCCAAAACATAATATGAGTATAAGTTTTCAAAACACATGTTCATTATCAGAGTAAACATTCCCAGGCTGTCTAATCTATGGTGTGTGCCATGCGATCACCCCGAGCTCTTTCCTCCGCTACCGGAAGTACCTGAAACCAAAACTGAAAACCGTAAGCACGAAGCTTAGTGAGTTCCCCACCCTACCACATACCATGCATAACCACCTACTGCACATATTGGGTCACGCCCGCTATCTTGGGCCTCGCCCCTACCTCGGGCCTCGCCCGCCACAACGGCCCCGCCGCTCCAGGCCCCGCCTGGCTTCGAGCCCCGCTCGGATACAGATCTGTTTTACTTAGGCCTCGCCTGACACAGGGCCTCGCCCGCCCACAAATAATAACACATAAACATATCACAACACATAATTAAACACATGCAACTGGTTATGTCCTAAGGCCTCGCCTATCCTGGGCCTCGCCCATGACCTGCTACTGATGAGTCATGGAACCCCGTCCACGCTCCTAATGGTAGTGAGATACGGGCCCAACCCACTCTCACTCATGTTCTAGTTTGGGCCTCGCCCCTGTTCTGCTTCTAATGAGATATGGAACCCCATCCACACTCTGCTATTGGTGAGATACGGGACCTCGCCCACACTCACCTCCCTACCAGGCACATACATGTATCACACAGACAACAAGTATAAACTATCATATAAACAAATCCTTGGGCACCACCCGCTATTACTGGACCTCGTCCTGAATATCATGCTAGCATACTGTGCCTAGGGCTAACCCCCGGGTCTTCTACTTGTAACTACATGGGTCGGCATTGTGGCCTTAGACCCATTCACACAAAAGGGAAACTCACCTGCACTGGCTGAACTTGCTGATGATCTCACTAGCTACTGGCCGATAATTCACTGAACTCCTACTCCCCTTGCTCCCCGAACTACCAATATCAATGCAACACTGAGTCTAACTGACCCCCGAAAGACAACTAAGTCAACCCTGGTCAAATTCAACCTTCCAGGTCAACCCTACTCTCCGAGTTCAAAATGTTCAGATTCCTTCCATTCGCATCTCAACTCGCCGAGTCAGTCCATGACTCGCCGAATCTACCGATTTCTGAGTCCTGACCTGTCCAACTCACTGAGTCTCCACCCGACTCACTGATTCAAGTCTCAACTCGAAGGGTTTGGGGTTTCGCGACCTGACTCACCGAGTCCAAGAACAGACTCACCGAGTACAAGGCAATCTTCACATGACTCGACGAGTTGTTCATCCCACTCGTCGAGTTTCCCCACAACTTCATGCTACTCGCCGAGTCCACTCAAAGGACTCGCCGAGTCCCTTCAGTTCTCCTTACATGCAGAGGACTTTTGAGTCATGCATGGACTCCAAACTGTAGATCTACCCTTCCCAAGCCTATTCCTCACGTAAAGTTGCAAACTTTACGTGTAGAGAAGGAGATCTAGGCAAAATATGCCATAAACTAGGGTTTAAGGCCAAGGGGCTTCAAAATCGACTCAAGGGCTGATACTTTTTGCTTCTCCAGGCCATAACACCCTTGGATTTGAAGTAGCAACTCCAGATCCGGCTTCTAACCCATAAGGGTGGCTAATCATGGCTTAAAAGCCCAAAACTCACAACCAAAAATAGTTCTAAGGGAAGGAAATGACTTAATACCTTCAATACCTCAGAAAGACTCCACAAACTCCAGATTTGAATCCAATCCTTGAAGCTTCACTGGTTCCCTTCCCTCTTCTTCCTTCAAATCACCCAAAAATGGCTTGGAAGCTTGGATGCACAACAATGGAGGCTTAGGCTTCGTTTTCTGAACGAGGGATGCTATAAGGAACCCTAATGGAGAGAATAAGAAGCTTAAATAGCGCCCAAAGTCCCGGATTTAGGGTTTTCCTCACACAGACCGGACTCGCCGAGTCCACTTGGCCGACTCGCCGAGTTGGCCACTTACACCTTGACCCAGATCCCGCTCGGACTCGTCGAGTCCCTCCTTGGACTCGCCGAGTCGACCCTTAAAATTAGGGCTTTCTTTCCTTTCTTGGCCTTTAAAACTTTGGGTGTTACAATTTAGAGGTTAGATATAAGTTTGGATGTTTAGGCCTTAAGCATTAGCCTTCATTCATTGCTTGATTCTTGGTCTTTTTGGAGCATGTATTGCTTTGAAGAAGAAGAGAAAAAGAAGAAGAATGTGATCTTTTGGTGAGGCTTGCAAGGAATCATCATCATTATCACCTTACATTGTTTTTGGACCCTTGTAAGTGTCAAAGCTTCCACCTTTATTGATGTTTTTAGACATATCTAAGTTTTGTCCTATTTTTATCCTTGATTGAGCAAGTTTGAATGAATATAAACCATAAAGTTGGCAACTTTATAGGTTATAAGGGTATTTAGAGTGTCATGAAGTTCAAATCTAGCGAATGGTTGAGTTTTGGATCCTTGCATGAAAGTTTGTTGGCCTTTTTCCACATTTTTGATCCAAATAAGATCTAGACATGTTTTGTACATACATGTCCATAAAGAATCGACTATTAAGAGTATTTCAGAGTTATAAGACCTTCTGGAAAGTTATAGCAAGAGGCTTAATGGAATAAGGACTTTAATCTTTTGATTTTGGCTTCAGAGTGTGCTCAAAACGTGAGACGTGAGATTTCATGATGTGATATTAGAAGACCCCCATTTTCTGCTGATTTATTTATGGCTCACGACGTGACGGAAGGCTGCTCACATCGTGAGGTCATCTCAGATAGTTTTCCTTGACTAAGTTGGTTGGTTTAGGTCGAGGCCAGTGGAATCGGATCGACTGGATTCTCACGACATGACCAAGAGATGATCACGATGTGAGGCTAAATAGCTGACATTATGGGTCGTTGACTTTGAGTTTGACCATTGAATTTTGACATGGGTTGACTTTTGGTCATGCTGGGCGATTTTAATGTGTAGTCTAAGGTTGAACCTCGTATGTTGTAATAGGAGTGTTGTAGCAACGGTTGCAAGGCTTTGATTTGTGGTTTACCTGATACGTGAGACAAGTGAGTTTCTCCTCAATGTACTTGTGGGTCCAAGGCACCAATATCGGCCCACTAGGT